GACTGATGACTGACTGACTGACTGACTGACTGACTGACTGACTGACTGACTGACTGACTGACTGACTGACTGACTGACTGACTGACTGGCTGGCTGACTGACTGACTGACTGACTGACTGACTGCTTGACTGACTGAGTGAGTGAATACTGATTTTCTGACTGACTGATTCCCTCAATCAAGGACTAAGTGACTTATTAAGTTAATGAATGATTAAATAAATAAATGAAAATATTTTCTTATGAATTCATAATGGTTACATAAGAACCTGTTTCATTTCTTCCTTTTCTTTTCTTCTTTGTTGTCTTGTTTTTCTTTGAGCTGATTTAATTGTTATGACACCATCATCATCATTATCATCATCATCATCATGTGCTTTATCATCGTCATTCTTTATCTCATCAAACAGACCTTGACCCATCTCTTCTTCCCAGGTTGGCTAAAGTATAAGATAAACCATTATTATATAGATAACGATGAAATACCAGGTTTTCTCTAGTGTCGAAAACTTGATATCTTTCACCAGTGGAAGATTCCATATCTTTCACACGTGAAGATATCGCTGTTGAATCGGCTTGCTATTTTAATAAAGTATTTTTATGCTTTTGCTTTATTCAAGTTTCATCGATATCTATATAATAAACACTGTGCTGTGCTCACTCGTGAGATAGCAATTGAACACTCAAAGATAAAATTCGTATCTCCGCGTGCCCATGTAATATCCTCTATTTAAGCAATGTATACTTGGCCCATATAGTACTAAATAATTCAGGATAATGAAGAAACAATGAGAATAGAGGGGTTTGAAATCTTTTCCATGACCATGACCCCCCTTCGCCCCGCCCAGATACATGTGTCAATATTTACAAGAGGATTAGAATTTACAGTAGTTACTAGCTTTCAACCCATTCTTAAACACCCCTTTCAGGGTGTTCTCAATAGGAATATTTCTTACCAAATCAGAGGCTTCCTCCTTACTGAGCCATTGGAGCTGTCTGTTGAGTTTTTCTATTCTCTTATTCTTTTTTACTTCAACTTCATGTGCTTTTTGCAGAAGTTCCTAGAAAATTAAGTTACACCAAAAAGTTTTGTTTTTGTAATCATCATCTGTTATCATTCATCATCATCATTCATCACAGTTTTTCTAGTTCATAATCTTGCCCATAATGACCATCACAATCATTATCATCATCAACAATACAACTATATCATCACCATCATATGCTGCTTCTCGTCAGCCAAAAACTATCCAACTTAACTTCAATATGATGGAATTCTCAAACAATCTCTGGAATTTAGCTTCACTAATGGTTAAGGTCTTGTAGAAAGAAGAAAATAAGAGACTCCAGAGAAAATAAAACCTCAACCCCACTCACATGATGTGCCGAGTCCAGGAATTGGGCCTGAGACACTATCAGGTAGAAAGTGAGTTCACTAGTAATACAGTACAGTACACCACCCTTGGTTTACTCACCTGGTGTTCTTCAAATGTTGGGTTATACGATGCTCCTGGTGCAGCTACTTCTACAGCAGGCAATTCTGTCACTTTTCTTTTGACTGTTTTGGGAGCCTTGAAAAAGGTAAAGGTAATTTATTTTACTTCGATAATGCGGGGAGTGGTTGCCCAATTCTACCGAGCCAGGGGCTCATGTTTAATGTGCTTGAAGGTCAACCCTCTACCCCTCTTACTATCAGTGCTCCTTTTCATGGGTACTTAAAGCTAATTAAATCTACAAAGAACAGACAGTCGAAGTCGAAGCAGAAGTGGAGTTCCTGAGGATCAAACTATGGACCTCTAGCTCTGAAGGCAGTGCACTAAACAACTGAGCTACACCTACTCCTTCATAAAAAAATAGTCAATAAATAATTATGACATGCATAAATATTCTTAGCTGATACCCTTGCTAAATGATTTAGACTATTTATACCACCACAAAAAGAATAATTTTCTGTTATGGTTCAATACCTTTATTTTTGTTTTCCTTGTGATCTTCAAGTAATGTTCGTCACCTTGAAGCTTGTCTAGAAGTGAAAACAATTATAAACTATATGACTTACACTGTATATTTTTCAACCATCGCTCCAAGTGGTTTCCTCCCAGCAAGGGGCCTCTTTTGTGACATTCCCTCCACAATATTCACTACAAATGCATTCTATATTTGCAACATACAGTGAAACACACAACTCGAACACTCAATACTAAAACTGCTAATACTGTATCTTTTTCCTGAAGTGGCTTTTGAGTTTGTCAATTGATTTTTACTATTTAGAGGGGTTTCATTTATTAGCACATGGGGGTCAGCAAAATTTCATGGAAAACTATACAAAAAAAAACAAGCTCTTATCCCCCTCCGTGGTAGAGGCAATAGTTCTGAACCCCTAACCACTTTCTCAAAATAATGCGACCCCCACTACTATTTAGCTGACCCCTTCCCCCCCCCCCCCCCCCCCCCCCCATGCGCTAAAAAATGAAACCCTCCTTAGGGTAGAATCCACTAGTAACCATCATCACAATAAACAATCATGCAAAAACATGTAATATATAGACCTGTATGAATCTATATGACCCAAGGGACTGGTTGTCGAAAGTCTTGTTATTTAAAGAGATTCAATACCATATACTGTAAAACTGACCTTCTGTAGACCACAGGTCGAAATAGCCCCTACTTTCTTTCTGTTCTTTCTTTTCTTTTGACTTCACTTGATTTCTATTCTTGTCTGCTGGTATCTCTTCGTCTGATGATTCGCTGTCAAAATCTTTTCCTTTTTTAGTTTTCTTTTTGTTGACTTTGGGTTTTTTGCTACCAACTGGTTTTATTCTAGTATCGGGAAGAAGAAGTTCATCTTGCTTGAGAAGCTTTCTCTTTCTAGATCTCTTGGTTACTGACTTATCTGTAATTTACATTTTCATTTTATTGTCAYATTGTAATGCCAGCATATACATGTATATGTAATTTATGTGTCATGTCCTAGTGATTATATATTATTGTTAGAAAACATATATATTACCGATCAATTTATGTGCAATAATTAAAGATCAGATGAAAATTTTTAATGCTAATTTGCGCTTTATAAGTATTATTATTATTATTATCATCATTATTATTATTATTATCATTATTATTATTTTGTGTGTGCGTTTTTTTCTACTAGAAAATATGCACACATTAAATAATAACAATAATAATAATAATACTTGTATAAAGCGCAAATTATCATTAAAAATGTTCGACGTCTGATCTCTAATTATTGCACATATATCGATCGGTAATAATTCAAACAATATGACAATACAGATGTCTACTATAGTAATAATAAAATGTCTTGATTTGTGTGGGTTATGATAAATGTTGCGTTGTTTTAGTGCCATAACACACAAATTGTGGACATCACCACACACACACACACACATTACCACCTATAAGCTCTTAACACAGATTTTTATGAAGGAATAAAAACCAGAGAAACCCCACAAAACAGCCTTATAGCAAGGTACAGTAGAAAACGAACATTGAACAAACTGAGCCCCTGGTTCCTGACTGTGGAGTACCACAAGGATTAAACCATGGGCTCAAAACGTTTATGAAAAGACAAAACTGAAGAATTAACCCAGAGGAAAAAAACCTATGTACAGAGAGAGAAAATTAACAGACTTCAAACAAACTCAGCCCTTGGTAGTTTTTGACTGTGGAGTTCCACAAGGATTGAACCATGGGCCTAACCCTTTGGGCCCAATTCTGTGAAAAGTGAATATTTTATCACAGCATCTTGCACCTCTGCTAAAGATAAAATGTATCTAATTGAGCTGATCTGCACAGTATATCAAGCAGCTTATATTGCAGCTGCTAATTATAAGACTCAGAAAAATTCTGAGTCCTGAACAGGATTTGAACCCAGGGCATGGTTGCTTGATGTACTGCGCAGATCAGCTCAATTAGATACAGTACATTATAACCGCAGTTCAAATATAGTCTACATGTATTCTCATATAATAAGATAAAATGGTCAACCAGTACAGAAATAAAATAATTCACCTTCTACAGCACATTCTGTATTATCCACTTTAATTGAGGGTAAAAGGGAAAAGGTATATGTGTAAGAAAAATTAGAAGTTAATATTATACGATTATTTATTGCTTAGAATCACCTTCATCTGGCGTTTTGAGTTTTATTGTATCCACAAAGAAAAGGCTTCCATCAGCTTTATCCGCTGCTGGACCCCTAATAAGAATAAGAAAAAATATCTTTATTAAAACAAAAAGTAAGCATACATTTAATCATGAAAGGACGCTAAAGCTTATACAGTACTCTAAAAAACGAATCCTTTTCGTGTGTTGTTATCAAATTGTGCATCACTTTGCTTCACTAAAGCTTTAGCTAAGCCTTAGTAACGACTTTTCTCATTCACCATTCAAATATCGTCTAAAAAGCAAAGCCACAGAGCGAGAATATAAGCCATATTCACCCACGTGGAGTATTGCAACACATACGACAACATTTATTTACTGAACATTATAAACAAATTCTACTAACCCAGTTCGTTCATCTCGTCTAACTTCCTCTAGAAACTCTTCTACATCCTTGATATCTGTTTGTTTTCGCCAGTTGCGTTTAGATTTTTTACTGTATTTCTTCTTCTTCAAAACGTTTACTTCGGACGCCATTTTGTTTTTGTATTACAYAGGAACCCCAAAACAGCTGATAGGCTCCGCTGGCTGGCAATGGCGCAGGATCTGGAAACGAAAAATGGACCAAAATTTTGATAGTATCCAAAAAATAAGTCAATGCTAACTTAACTTTTATTTCATTTTTAAGACATTATATTTACATTTACTCATTTAATTTCAAATATTCTTTTAGATATTTAAATAGGCAGGAAAAAAGAAACAAATGGGTTTCCTGTGTTGCCTGTGACTCAACGCAAGACACTCGTCCCAGTCTTCATCATTTTTTATTTTCAAAATGGCCGACTTCCTTGAATTTTTTATGAATTTTTGCCTCAAACCTATTTTCTATAAAACATAATATCTAGATCCTACTATTTTTCACTCCTTTCTCATCTTGAGGTGATTTTGTTTGAGACTTATTGGGCATGTCGCGAAGGAGTACAAAGACTGCTTTGGAAAATGAGATTGAACGAGGTCGTGTGGAAGGAAGATGGGAAGGTGTCCAGAAACTGGTTGAACAAGTTTCGAGTCGAACAACAAATGAATCAAACATTGGTAAGCTGAAAATATATATGATATTGAATAGGCTGCTTTATATCCTATAGGTAGAAGCTAGACTGCTATAACTCCTGATGAAATCATCTTTCATTTCATACAAATAGCTAAATCTAACTTTTTCTATTTTTTCTTAATTTTACTAGAATCCTTCAAAACACTTCTCCTCTGTGAAGCTGAACTGGAGATCTATATAAGAGATAATCAATTATTAGGATCTACTAGTCATGATCTTGCCAGAAAATCACTACAACCAATTGCTGACAAACTGGTGAACGTCTCTGAAGCAACAAAGAAAAAAAATGTTTGTGAAATAATGTTTGTCTTTGATGATCAGTATATACAGTGTATTTAATAGGCTATTTCATTTAATATCTGCCTCCCCTCCCCTCACACCTCGTTAAGGATTGAATTTTTAAGGCAACCGGGGTGTGCTTATGTTAATTGTAGTACCCCAATAAACAGACTATGTTTTYGTTTCTCCAATGGAGGGGATGGAAATTTCCAAGAAGTGGGGAGAGTCTGAGGAGGGTATATCCAGTAGTCCCAGAAAATATCTATACCTCCCCTTTGGAGGGGGATGGGCATTCGTTTCCATGGAGAGGATTGAAATTTCCCAGGGATGGGGAGGGTAATGTGGAATGTAGGACATTATCATGAATCCACAGAAAAGGATTGGAATTTCCCATGTGGACCTTTTAGTAAGGAGGGTATATTGTGTGGTTTGAGAAAATATCTATACACTGTACTTCCACCAAGGAGGGGAATAATAATTTCAAAGGGTACAGGGCCTGAGGATGGTAAAATAGGTACCTGTGGTTCCCGAAACTACATGTATCCATTATGGCTCCAAAGGGGATATTGGAATTTTAAAGATTTTTTTGTAATGGGGAATCAAATGAACCCAGCCATTTTTATCATGTAACTTGTACAATATAAATAATAAATACATGTATTATCATCATTATTACAGTTGAAAAGAAATATCACTTTACCACCACTTATTGACTTTTCCTTGGATTTCCTAGGATGAGAAGAATCAAGAAGCAAACCTTTTGCTTTGCAAAGCACACTTCATGATGGGGAATTACCAGATGAGTATCAAGTATATGAATGAAGCCAGTGCTGAAGATCTGACAGTCGATATTCATGCAAGAAGAAGATCTAAACTGATTGCAGAAGGGTTTTCATTAAAAGGTGATTTGATTGATGTTGATTTGCTAATTGTATCAAGTATGTGAACTCAAGCACAATGATCAGTTTGTTAATGATTGGATGAAGAAGTTACTGATTATTTATGTTTCTAAACCTATGTAACTTACTCCAGACATCTGGCGTTTTGGCTTCTGTCTATCAAATTTAAAATTTAAAATTTAATCTTAGCCTCTTGTTTTAATGACTGTGGAATTCCACGAGGACTGAACCATGGGTCTGACATTAACTGATTATTTGTCCAATTTACTGGCTGGATGACATGCGCAGCCTGCTTGACTGAATGAATCAATTACTTATTTACCAACTGATTGACCCAATTAGCTTAGAGCAGATGCATAAAAAAAAAAAAAATCAAACTAAATACTAACTAATAGTATCTATTTAGTGACTAATAGTTGCTATCACTCAACCAGAACATTTATTAAACAAAAGACACAAATGGTCTGTTGTGTATTTGTCTTTGTATGAGGAATGTTCTGGTTGAGTGATAGCAACTATTAGTTACTAAACTACTATTTGTCAGTATCAACTTTGATTTTATTTCATGGTTTAATTGCATCCGCTCTAATGAATAAATAAAAGATGGAATAATTGAATGATTATTTTTTAAATTACTGATTGATTGATTAATTAACCAGCCATGGCCCTTGAAGAGCTTCAAGCCATTGCAGATAATGACACCAATCCAGAAGATCAGGAGATCATGTCCTGCTATGAATGTGCTGGTGACATTGCATTGTGGTTGATGTCTGGACAAAGAGCGTCTATCCTCCCACATATCGCTGGTGAAATGAGCATGCCATTAGAAGTTGCCATCCAGAGGGTTCCAATACTCTTGATTAAGTCAGGGTAAGAAATAAYGAATTAATTAATTAATCCTTTAATAAACTAGATTATGAATGATATTTTAACCTTATTTCTGTCGTCTATATTTTTCAGGAGGCTGTCTGCAGGTGTTAATAGATTCAGAAACATGCTCAAGGCATTAGAATCAAAGGCTACTCATGATTTGAGGAAGGTTGGTTTCTGACTATGTGTACACATAGTCTCAGAAAAATATTAGCATCCCCCTTCCCACAGTTTTGAAATGGCACAATACTGTATATGTACACTCCTAAGATCATCTCTTACCCACTTCTTGGAAATTCTAATCCACTCGTTGGGATGGGAAAGTATATTCAGAATATTTTTTGAAACTGCACAGTATGCCCTTCTCAGACCCTCCCCACCCCTTGGAAATTTTAATCCCTCTACTTGAGGGAGGAAGGTATTTTATATAATGCTGCATAACATACTTATTTCAGTAAAGTTAGTCACCAAAAACCTAGAAAGCTGTGATCGCTGAGAATCATGGGGAAATGTCTTAGATCCAACAAGTAAAGCTTTTGACACAAACTGCAGCAGTTGAGGATGCTCAGAGGAAGTGAACTTGTAACTGGTAAAAGATCTCAAGTCCATCAACAGTTATCAAGCGGTTGAAACATGTAAAATGTATCTACCCATAATCCCYGTCGGTCTCAGCTTTGTAGCTTTTCAGGTGACTAACTTAATTGAAATAAGTGTATACAGTACCGTCAGACCCTCCTTATCATTGACAATTCCAACCCCCTCCATGGGAGTGGGAAAGTGTGGACATTTTCAGGAACTAACAAGTAATCCAAGTGTGTGTTTTCCTAGGTTTTAGCCAGGCAGTTAGCAGAAGTTCTTTTGCGCGGCATCTGTGAAGATGTGTATGACAAGCCTGTCTATCAAAACACTAACATCCCAGGCTCAACGGCATCCTTGTCAAAGGGAAGTACCAGGAATGAACAACAAAGAACTACAGTCAGTGCTCATAATGTCAGAAGAGCTAGCTTTTCCTTGAAACCTCTTGTGTATTCTGGAGACAGGTACTTAGTTATGAAGTGGAACACTTGAATATGAATTATAATTATTCCACTCAAGAGCATTAGGGATGCAAATGTACTCATTTTAATCTTAGGGGTGCAATTAATCAAAAATCACACATACTGAATCAATCATCGTGTTATTGTTCAGTCATTATTTGCTGTTAAATGTGCCATAACTATATATGTTTAGTTCTACCTTATGTACAAATGTAATAGAACAAATTTCTATGACAATACAGAGGATGATTGTATGCATGCAGCTTGGAAATTTTTGCTTATTTGCATTCCTAATAAGATCCAAAGCTATGCAATGCCATGTGCATTTCTAATTGATGGAACTCGAAAATGGTCTATTTGTCAAAACATCTGTCAGAATGCAACCACAGTTTCTCTACAGTACTCACGCCTAAAGGATATCACTTGTCACACTGGTTATRATGTATTTTTAGTGTTTTAATCCTTTTGTCATGTTTTTTTTATAGTTTATTTGTTCCTCGAGATGAAATGGAGGAGGTCTTACTGCTGTTATTACTTGAGGATGCCATGGTAACCAAACAATGTACTTTACTTTTAACTTTAAATTAGACCATATTACGTGATTGTGRTTAAATTCTGTAATTACCATTTGGTTGAGAGCGGTCAAGGTAAATACAATTTAGGAGGCCTGACATATCGACCAATGCACGCCCACAAATTACATGTAGCTTCTGCACAGAGGCATGAGCTTAAAACTGTGTCTTTCTAAAAAAACAAATTTCTAATGGTTTAGCATGGTATGTTCTCTTATATACCACAATATGATATCAACAGTTGGTTAAAACGTTATTTACCTATGAGGTGTAGGCGTAAATAATATATGGACAACAAACCGTTATTCCATGATTGAATCGGAATTTAGGAGTGTTAATTTATAAACACTAAGAGAACCAGGGAAAAACCCTTGGAGCACAGGAAAGAACCAATTCAATCAAGAGACAGTTCTACTCAACATATACTCATAGCAGGGCAGAGATTGATGTGAATAAGCCTGAAGCGAGATGACATCTTACCCCCATCTCTAGACCATAATCCTTTTCACACTGCTTTTGTTCTTTAATTATGACTATTGTACCTGTATTCTCTAAGGAATCAAAAATTTTAATATGAAAGAATTTAAAAAACTATTATGGTATAGAGTTGGCGGTAAAACATCATCTCGCTTCAGGCTTATTCCTAACRGTGCAGAACATGCATAAGATACAATGTATAAGATAAACACATTTAGGTGTTACAACAAACCATGTGTAATTTCATTAATAATGTTGTTTTTTATCGTGAATTTTCTCAGGTGCTAAGAGATGCTGTACTTAGTCAAGCACCTGAAAAGGCAGAAGATCGTAAGCGCACTGTTGAAGAAGCAAACATTGTTTATGATTTGTTGGTCATAGCACTAACAAGGAGAGGACAGTATGGAATGCTAGTTGAGGTGAGTTTTATTGTTTCAGCGTATTCCGCCAATGTTTGAACCACCCTCTCATTTTGGAGCCCCATCTTGAATGTTCCTGGATCTGCCCTTGATCATGTCCACTATTAAATCTCTTTTTTGTTTCAGTGCTTAGACAAGGGAATGAAGTTAGCATTTGAAGAGTTCCATCTTTGGTTCCAGTTTGGACTCTCACTCATCAGTGCTGGAAAGGTAGTACTGTACATACGAAATATGGTTTGCATCTATGTGAATGCCAGACATCAAAACATGTTCTAACTAGCTCCTAAAACTTGTATGTTTGTCAGCTTGTAAATTATCAGAGTGTAAAAGGCAGTCTCATTTGGAGTCGCCAAATATTGAACAGCAAACAGAAGGTCACAGGTTTGAATCCTTGAGGCTAGAGCTTGGAATTTTTTTCCGAGAAAATTTTGCTTGAAGAAACATATTAAACACATCTTTAATAACTATCCAAGAAACACCTTATCACTAACATTGAATATATTTTAGCTGACAAACATATAAATTTCAAGTGCCAGTTAGAACATTGGATGTTGGGTGGTGTACGCATCCAAATTCAAACGAGTCATATTAATTCTGCAAATGTCACACTTATCCGACTCATCTGAATTTAACGGAAAAAGTTATCTGATAATTTTGTTTCCTTCTAGTATGAGAGAGCTCTTCTTGTTTTGCGGCAATGTGCAAGTTTAAACCCTGAAGATGCACTGGTACATCTGTATGCCGCAAAACTATGCTTCAATCACCTACATCAAGTAAGCATGCTGAAATGATTGAAATACATGTACTATAGTGATAAACTAATAATTATTAATATTATATCTTGCTTTCTGATAGGCTGTGTACGTCTGCTTCCCATCTCACACCCTTCAGGGGAAGTAGGAGGGTGGAGTATCTGTGTATATTAATATGTTTCTTAATCATGTTCCAAGGTCACTTGACCTTGAGCCAAATATTTTCCTGTCCAGCCCTTACACTCAGTCAATTAGTACATGTACATATTAATATTCTGCTTATACCTGAACACATATATACCGGAACACATGTGCAAGTTAAATTCTATTTCTTCAAATATAATTATCCATTTTCAAGTAAGGAGGTTTGCATGACAGTTTACTACAACTTAACCAGACTCCCTTGTACAATTAGTTTCTCTTGTTCACTTAACTAGCACCAATTGTCTTACCATTCTCATGAGGGAATAAGAATGTGAATAATAAAGAAAGTTTTGAAAGCATTCTGATAGCGGCAGTCATATCACTGGGAGCCCAATTCAATTATGATATTCATCTTCAATTTTTTTATAGTTTGAGGAAGGAGTTGAATTTGCAAAGAAGGTGGTTGCTATGGGAGCTGGTAAGCAGTGGTCTGCCAAAGGATACCAAGCATTGGGCATAGGTTACAGCTTACTGGCAGGAGAAGGTAAATTTGAGATTTCTTTATTTAGCTGACTAAATCTTTGACTATTTCTTTAAATAGCTGACTGAAAAACGAGGCTAATTAAACCAGTATAAATAAGTGACCTGTGGTCTTAAAATACAGCGGTATGCATGTAAAACTGGTGTATTAATTGATTATTATATTTTTTTGATGAACTTGTTAATAAGAATGTCTCTTGCAGCTTCACTAAGTGCAGAGAGACAAAAACTTCAAAAGCTGGCTATTGATGCACTAGAACAGTAAGTAGAAAGGTCTTTATCAACCGATAGCCTTAGAACAACATGGACTACAGGGAGGCAGGGGCTAGTAGGTTTAGACTTCCTATTGTCCGTTAAAAATTTTCAAAGCTTCAGCCCCCAATTRAATATTCTCTACAGTCATACTAATAGCCTGCTAGAGCTAGAGCAGAGATTTCAAGAGTGAACTGTGAGAAAGTAGTGGTGACAGAGATAATGTTACCTGATGTCAACTGAACTAAGGCCAAGGATTGAGGGAACATGGATGGATAGCCTAGTATGCTTTATATAGAGCATTTTCATGTGACATCATAATTGCCATGCATGTTGTTGTACCAAAACAATACATTTTCTATCCTCAGGAAATTGAACTCTATTTTTATGCAAAAACTGTAAAGAAATTTTACATTTTATTTAATGAAAATGCTCTGTACTATGAAATTCATTGCTAGTGGGCCAAATTATAAATAATTATTTATTTATTTTTTCCTACTGTCAGAGCTCTTGATCATGATCCAAATGACCCAGATATTCTCTTCAACATGGCTTTAACTGAGGCTCATGCAAGACAAGTAAGCAATAATTATTAAATTATTAAATAAATAAAATATTAAATTCAGTTTCAATTAAAATATAAATTTTTGTGCTCATGTATAATTTATTCAATCATTGTTTTTTAACTGAGAAGACCTCTTAACATTTTAATCAGAAATTATTGTCCTAATAATAATTAAATATTTCACTTTGATATCATGGTATAGATTTCTCGAGCTATCAAGAACTTAAGACGAGCAATAAAATTAGATGGTGATAACATCAACTACCTCCACCTTATGGCGCTTCTATTATCTGCACAGAATAAGGTGAGACAAGACTAACTGTCTATGGCTTTGTGTGGCCGTAGACGATTAACATAACCCACCATGGAGGAATTTTGAAAAAGTTCCCCACACACACACCTCTGGAATTCTGATCTTTTTCCATACAAACCTTATGGTTTTGTTTTTCCTCTGACCCCCACCCCCTGGGAATTTCCGATTTCCACCATGGTGGGGTATGGATATTTTCTGGAACCACACATTTTGGTTGCAATGTTTTATTTGTTTTTTAGGCATGAGAATAAGCTAAAGTCTGCATGAAAAGAAACATTTTTATTCTAATCATAATTTGTTTGTCGTTTTATATTCATTAGTATGGTGAAGCATTAGAAGTGTGTGAAGCTGCACTCTTGGAATTCCCAGATGACTTTAAGTAAGTAATGACCACTAGAATTGTTTTCTTCTGTTGATCAGTCTCGGTCCTCACAATTTCTCGTCCTTTTTCTGAGTCATAAAAACATTCTAGTCAAAAAAAACTCAGTCTTTCTTAATAATGTACCCTTTTCAAAAGTATTGTGGATCAAGGCTAACATGGTTCTAAAAATTTTAAAAGTCACAGTTTTTCTTCTTGATGGAATTTGTCATTTCTTTCGTATCTTCATGTTAGCTTTACACTCAATTCAGTTTTAAGAAGGGTCCATTAGTGGCATACCAAAGGGAGGGTACAGTATCTATGTGTATTGGCGGGAAAATGGTATAGTGTTGTTTATGGTCAATACCTCTCTGCACTCCTGGGCCCAGTTGTTCAAAGCCCGATTAGTGCTAATCCTGGGTTAACTCTTAATAAGACCTATAGAGTTAATCCTGAATTAGCGCTAATCCAGCTTTGAACAACCGGGCCCTGGACCTCAACAGATTTATTGAAGGCTGACCTGACTCTTCTGTTGGTAGTACTATTCTCTGTCTTAGTCTCTTATCTAATGTCCTACTAAAACTTGAAAACTTTCCAAGCCTTTTCAACCCTCATATCAAAATCTTTTCAAAAGTTTCCAGCTGGATGTAATGACAGAGAGATTTAAAATGTCCTTTATTTTTAGTTTGCTGTTAACAAAAGTAAAGTTAGAAGCAGTCTGTATGGGAGGTGATCAAGCTCTTATTACATGCAAACAGCTCTTGGAGACATGGAAACAAATGTTTGACTTAGAAGTGCTTACTTGGTGAGTGTGCTACACACAGYGTATCCTCCTCAGACCCTCCCCACCCTTTGTAATTCCAATCCTTTTTTTGGGGGGGAGGCTGTGATACCTTGTACACATCATTGAAGTTAAATTAGAGAGGTTCAATACAGGATCACTTGCATTAATAATACTGCGTCGGTGTTTCTAATAAAACAGTTATCGTAGAATGATAAGTTATACACCGTAGTGAAAATAGTAACTGACGTTTTGGACGTTAGTCCTTCGTCGGAGTCAATCATTGACTCCGACGAAGGACTAACGTCCGAAACGTCAGTTACTATTTTCACTACGGTGCATAACTTATCATTCTACGATAACTGCATTAATAATAGTTAACATTCTTAGTGTTATTTAGTACCACTACCAGAATCCCTTGCACACTACGTTTATGTCCTTCCCATTGTGTTGTACTGTGCATGAGTTTGGGGTGGAGGGATTAATTTTTTTTGGTGTTTGAGAATAGGCCGATGCATAATGGCGTCATATTTCTAACACTACAAAAATGCTTCCATTGTGAATTCTTTCCTTATTCAAATTTGTATTTCCTCATTAGAAAAGTTGCAACTTTTGGTTCCCTACAAACCCCTAGATATGTCTTGATGTATTGTGTAGTTCCAGAAGATACCCATATCCTACCCACAGAGGAAATTGGAAATTCTGGAGGGGAGGGGGTCAGAGAAAGAACAAAATTACAGAAATTGTATGGAAGAAAATTGGAAGTTCCTGGGGAAGGGCATCCTTTTACAAATTTCCTCAGTGGTGGGGTATGGATGTTTTCCAGAACTAAACATTGTAAGTTGCTGTTAGATTCCTTATTTCTTTCCAACCCATTCTCATTTCAYAGTTCTACAAATCTAACAAGAGCTGGGTCTGGTTTGCTTGATAAAGTAGTTGCTGACTCCAGAAGCCTGAAGCAGTTTCCTTTGGCAGAGATCAGTAGTGAACGAGGAGATGGTAGGAAAAATGATATCTGAATCAATTTTTGTGAATTTTTAGACTAATTAAAGTCAGGTCGGCTAACTCACATATCAAAAAACTCTGAAATAACCTCTGGGCTGATCAAAGTAAGGGCACGGCTAACTCACAAATCAAACCCTGAAACAACCTCTGGGCTAATGGCTAACTCACTAATTTTGTTTTTTCAAATAATTTGAATTTAGCATGTTGTGACCTTTTAGAGGGATGAAAACTGTGAAAAGGAAGGGAAAACTTTGCATTTAATATCCAGTCACCTTGCTTTGCAATACTTATGACATCTACTGCAGTCATTGTCTACTCTCTGTTTCCATATTGACAGATACTGCTTCCATTGCTGCATCAGTACGTCTGGAGCGCACACTGTCAGATGAAGCAACATCTACTGCAACAGGAGCAAAGCTAAGCATACCAGCTGTACTGGCCCTTCAGGCCAAACTGTGGTTAGCTATTGGTAGGTAATAGTGCAACCACTCTGGCCACTAGTTTTTCCCATTATTATTGAACTATACACAGTAGAGTACAATTATACCACAGGAGAACGCCTGGAGCAAGTACAAATATCTTGCGACATTTTTCCTCTAGACACAGGTTTCCCAGACTCTGTATCTTCGGCACTGGGCGTCCTGTGGAAAAACGCAATATAATTTCAAAGAAATCAGAGAAGATGTAGGAAATCACTTCTGAGAGAAATGCTTTTTTTAGACCTGCATTTTTTTATGTTCAAAAATAAAAGTTCTATAACCAGTAAGCTCTGACATTCTTATTGAGGCTGAACTTGAAAACTAGATGCCAGTCAGTCATCCAAGCACAAATGAAGAAACATTCAGTTTCTAATAAATATTTGCAGTCAATTTGTGTTTTCTTATGAACCAACACAAAAATGAAAAAAATTGTTGCTTGAAGTTTGAATATGAATATTCAGTCACATCAGCTAAATTATCCACATGTAATTGTTGGCATTATTGCTTTTCTCTTCTTAGCTGATGTATTCATAGGAATGCACAAAGATATCGAGGCTAGTGCTTGTGTGCAAGAAGCAAACCTCATCTTCCCTCTTTCTGCTGATGTCCTGTATCAGGTAAATTGAAAAACTAAATAACATTTTAAAATTTCATTTCATTCCATCCTATTCCATTTCATTGTTCCATTCCATCCTATTCTATTCCATGCTATTCCATTCTGTTGTAACTAAAATCCCCATATTAGGTTTTTTGTGTGTGTATAAGAATATCTATGAAATATATATTTGTACTGTGGTTGTAATGTATCAAATTGAGCTGATCCTTGCAGTATATGAAGCAACATATGCAGCTGCAAATTGGAAGACTCTGAAAAATTCTGAGTCTTGAACAAGATTTGCACCCGTGCTCTGGCGATTCCAGTCCCATGTTCTAACCACGGAGCTACCAAGTCTCATATGAGACTTCAAGGATACATTAGTTGGGTTTATCGGCCCGATAGGAGAAATATAATATATGTGTGTATGAGAAGGTTTATGTGTCTGCCAAAGCATGATAATAGTGGTCTAAGAATGGAGCTTATGGGCAAATAGTCAACAGCTACCACCCTAGTGGGGGTAGGATGGATAAAAAGTCAATCGCCCAGTCTTTAGGGGAAAGGGGTAGTCCACATTCATTTGCACCTAACCTCTGAGCAATTGTACCATATTAAGTTCATTGTCAGTCAAGTGCAGATATATCAACTGGCTCATTACATCAACAGCGAGGCCGCATCTATGAGATCCGAGGAAGTCCAAACCAGGCGAAAGCCTGTTACAACAATGCAATAGCAATCAACCCAAGTCACATTCCAAGCATGCAAAGAATGGTTAGTATTGCATGTGCATTGTGCTTCATCAATAGACCTCTTCAGCTCTGACGTAATGTTTTCCCATTCATACCACGTGTCATTCCCTAGAGTATCATTTCTTTGTTTAAGGTTTGCGCTTGGTTGCACATGAGAAGACACATGAATATGGATACAGCTTAAACAAAGAATCTTATTCTCAAGGGAATGTCAGGTGGTCTGAAATGGGAGAACGTTACCCCAAGCCGAAGAGGTCAATTAGTCTTTTTAATATTTAATTATTTGTGTTTGTCATACAGGGAGAAGTATRTGAAAAACTAAACAACCTTGTGATGGCAGAAAAGGTGCTGCGAGAAGCTATCAACATAGATCCAACAGCTCATGTTGCATGGTAGGTTATCATAAGAAAAGCACTCTTCTAACAAATGGATATAAACGATTATGGCACCTAGCGAACACTCTCAATTTCTTACAACTTGTGAATTTTGACATTCTGTGAACTCTGACATTTCAATGGCTTTTTGTGAAGTTGGTTTTCCACTGCTGCCTGTCAAGAACATAAAAGGTACTGACTGATTATTTTTGATTGACGGCAGCAAAAAATCAAATTTCAGCGTGCAGCTCACAGCTACCAAGTTTGCAGAATATCAAAAGCTGCAGTAAAATAATAACTCTTCTCTTGACTGTAGACTTCATGATAACCAAATGTGTTTAATATCTTTTTCATCTCTCTCTCTTTTGCACTTTCTTGTAAAGACGTTATTAAAGAGGTAATTAAAGAGGTGCATAATATTCATATTTTTTTCGGTTTCCTAAAAATCGTGCATTCTGATTAGCTATGCAAATTTATTATATTTTTAATCTCTGCCCTTTCAAATTCTTTCTAATCTGACAGTGTATGGGCGTGAAAACCCTTAAAATGGAGCTATAAGAAGGGAGGGGCAGAGAGCACACTTAGAAGAAAAAAAGGAAKAAGCCTTGCCTTTAATTAATTCTTTCAATTCTGTTTTTCCAGGCATTATCTTGGTGTTGTACTTGAACGGCAAGGTGAACATGAAGCAGCCAGTGAATGTCTCTTCACTGCAGTGGATCTAGAGGCAACGTCCCCTATTTGTAGTTTTTCAATCATTCCTAGACTGCTATGAATCAATAGCTTTGCCTTGGAATTAACTTACTAGAATAAATTTTTGAAATTAATGTCAGACCCTCCCCACCCCTTGGAAATATTCCATCCCCCTTCCATCGGAGAAGTATCGATATTTTCTGGAACAACACAATAATATTCTCCAGATTCTCTGACCTTTCCCACGTACCCCTTGGAAAATCCCAATTCCTCTCAATGGTGGAGGTATTGACTGTAACTACACAATCTACCCTCGGCTCCATAGACTCTCCTCACCCCTTGGAAATTCCAATCCACACCTGAAACGTACAATGCTCTGCTTTTGTCAGCATTGCATTACAAGTTGCAAAAATTGCCTCACATATATAACAGAGGATTTAGGTTGCCATTCAATGTTTATCTCCCCACAAACAAAACACTGACGAAAAAGGTTGAATGATGACTTTAAGAAAATCTGTGTGTAGGAAGCTAGGTCTATGTATTAGTGTCTACACTAGAAGTCTATTTGGAAAATAACCTACTCTATGGCTTAAATGAAAAAACTTTATCTCTATACTGTTCAATTTTTACTCACTAAAGACAATGAAGCTGCACATATTGTTGTTTTAGTAATACATAGTATACAGTTTTTATCAATCAATATTTATTAGCATATAGAATTAATAAATTATAAAATAAAATAAATACAGAAATAATTTCATATAATTCTTTCAGATTCTTCCACAATTATACTACATACCTAGATTTACCTGTTTATAAATACTAGTAAGCTATTCCAAGGGTTTGAGGGACATATACTATGTCTACAAAGCACTTAATACGTGAAAMATCCATGAAATACTATACAATGTAAGTGACAAGTTTGGAGATCCATGGTGTATCAAAAAAAACGTAGCTATAATTCGTCCCATACCAATGAACAAATGTCAAACCAAAAATTTACAGATTATGATTGGAAGAAAGAGTGGATTACCAACAAATATACAACTGTCCTACATGTACATTCAGATTGATTGTATTTTTTAATGGTATGGGATAAATGTCGCTATGATTTATTAGAGCTCTATGTTACTTTCTAAAGAGTTAACTTTATGTAAAAAGTGTAATTTATGAATAAAATTTGAAGATATAAAAAATGTCATGGGATTTTACCAGCACCATTATGTAGTATGGCATTATTAATTACTACAACAGAATCAGATAATAGAAATTCTCGTGTTTGCATTTATATTCCAAATCATTGTCTATAAAAGGCTATCATATTTACATTCTGGCAGAGCACATGCGGGGTGCCTTGTAGGATTATAATGTGAGTATTCTGTTTTTGTCACAATGAGATCTGAGTCCAGAATGGAATGTCTGTTTGGAACTTAAACGTAAGCTAGAGACAACTCTTTTTATTAAGGAGGATGATGCAAACAGGCATTAATTGTAATATGATATCACTTAATGTCCGTGGAATTAGAGACTCTAAAAAGTGCAAAAAAATCTTTAATTGGCTAAAGACTCATGGAGGTGAAAATGGTATATATCTTATCCAGGAAACGTATAGTTCAGTAGAAATTGA